GCCCTGACCAGGAACTGAACCACAGTCTCTTGGATCCTAGGTCGATGCTCAACCACTGAGCCATGCCCAGGAGGGCTGATTGTAATTATTTTTATATTTGTGTCATATAATATCAAAATCTGCTATTTTTGCAGGATTGCTACTTAAACTTATATGTTTCTCTCATGAATGGTGGCTTGTTTCCTTGTACATTTTGTGATTTTTTTTTTTCATTGTATATTTCAGAATTTCCTATAGGAATTCTTTGAGGCCTGTATTTAAAGGACATCCATGTGCTGAGGATTTGTGCTTGCTTGTGCCAGGTGCTCTTGGGCAATACTCCCTCTGGACCACTTTATTTAAAACTTTTAAAAAATGTTTTTTTAAACTTTTCTATTTTTATTGTACTGTCACAGTCTAACTAAAATCTGTGTGCAAGCTAATCAGATTCAGCTTCAAGACAAATCTAGGAGCTGTCCCCCAACCAGATTGCTCTCCCTAAGTCCCTACAAGAGAGAAATTCTGGCGCATCCACTACTCTATGCTTAGACCACGCTAAACTAAAATTACAGCTTGTAATTTTAATTATAAATTCTCAGGGTCAACATTTTCCTTTTTTGCCCACTTCCACCCAGATCCAAGGTCAAGATATGCAAACATCCTCGCCTCTTTTGGTGGGGTATTTTTTTCTAGGTCACCAATTGTATTAGTTTTCTGTTGCTGCTGTATCAAATTATTGCAAACTTAGTGGCTTAAGACAGCACAAATTTATTATCGTACCATTATGGAAATACAAAATGGATTTCACTGAGTTAAAATCAAGGCATCCACAGGGCTGCATTTAAAAAAATATATATCTTTATTGACTTCAGAGAGAGGAAGGGAGAGGGAGAGAGAGAGAGAGAAACATCAACGATGAGGGAGTCATTGATAGGCTGCCTCCTGCAACCCCCAACTGGGGATCGAGCCGGGTTTGACCGGGAATTGAACCACGATCTCCTGGATCCTTGGTCGATGCTTAATCACTGAGCCATGCCGGTTGGGCTGCATTTAAAAAAAAATCCTCATCTGAGGATATTGTTTTTATTGATTTTTTTAGAGAGGGAGGAAGGGGGGGAGTGAGAGAGAAACATCGATTTGATGCCTCCCGTACGTGCCCTGACCAGAGATCAGACCCACAACCTAGGTATATGCCCTGACCAGGAACCAAGCCTCAAAACTCTTGGTGTACCCGATGACGCTCCAACCAACTGCGCCACTTAGCCAGGGCAGGGATGCATTTTCTGAGGAGGCTCAGGGGAAGAAACCTTTTTTTTTGCCTTATCCATCTTCTAGATTCAGACTGCTCACATTCCTTGGCTTGTGGCACCTTCATCCATCTTTAAAGCCAGCAGTGTAGCATCTTCTAATCTCTGTTTGGCTCTGACCAGTGTTTTCATCATCACAACTCCTTTCACTCTCCTGCCTCTCTCTGTCCTTTATAAAGATGCATGTGATGGCATTTCAGGCCCACTCAGATAGTATAGGAGTCTTCCCATTTCAAGAACCTTGACTTAATTGCATCTGCAGAATCCCTTTTGCCATGTAAAGCACCATAGTCACAGGGTCCCGGAATTAGGATGTGGCTTTCTATAGGGGGCCACTATTCTGCCAGCCACACCCATTGAGAGCATTGCCCTTTAAGAGTACAGGCTTTAGGTGGGGGCCCAGGTGTTGTCTCTTGGTTCCCATGGGTGGTGTCTGGAAAGTCATGGGAAGGTGTCCAAGGAGGAGGGGGTGGCCCTGAGCTCCTGGGTGTAGAGTCCCCGCAGACAGGTGCTAGCCCCAGAACTGGTTCCCTCTTCTTGACACAAGTATCCTCAGAGTTTCTGACCTTAGAGGCTTTCTCTTATTTTCCTACCAGCTCAGCCATTCATTCCAACATGTTTTTAGATTGCATCCTATGTTTTAGGGCTCTGGGCCAAGAAGATTGCCCTAGACATGCTGCCCACATTGCTCACAAAGTCACCACTGTGTTCTTATGCTACACTTGTCCCCACCCACCCTCCAGCTTCCCTTCTACTTCCTGCCATATCTCTGTGGTTGGGAATTCTGACTTTAGAAAGACTACTCCAGCTATGGTGTGCAGAAAGCACTGGAGGTGTTTAGAGCTGAGGCTAGGAGATGGGGGAGGAGCAAGCCTCATCTGTCACTTTGGGTGGCTCAGTGGTCTCCGCAGGCTCTCTTTGCCTCCAGCCTGGGCCTTTTTGGTCCACATTCCACACTTTGTCAGCCAGAGGGACAGGTGCTGGGACATGCAAGTCTGCTCTTGTCCTTCCCCAGCTCAGATCCTTTTGTGGCTCCTATCACCTCATACTGAAGCTTGGGTGTGACTATGCACCAAGTCTTGGGATATAGCTGCCAAACTCCATGGTCACTTCTGGGTCCCTGCTCCCCTGATTTCTCTGCCACTCTGGAACCTAGTGTCATTTACTGCTTTATGGAGTCTTTTGTTTAGTGTCTTCCCTCCCCCTCTGGGAACTTGGATCCAAGTGGCAGGCCTCTTTGGTTCACTGCTTCGTCTTAGTCATTAGCCATGTGTGGCAGATAGGGGTTCAATGGGTCGTGAGTAAATGGGGGCCTTGGCCAGAGGTTGGGCCAACAGGCAGTGCAGGCACCAGATGGGAAATGATGACATGGGGGTGGGGTGGTACTTGAGTCCCTGACCAGCCCAGCATGTTCCCCTCTTTCTAGGCCTCCCTCCTCCCTTCCCCCAAACCCTCCAAGGTGCTCAGCAAACAGCTTCTCTCAGTTCAATATCTTACATAAATTGTTTATTCAGTAACAATTCAAGAAAGCAACTGTGGGGTGGGTTCCCAAGAGTAAGATGGTCACTGGGCTAGGGTGCGTGTGTAAGTGCCACCGCCCACTGCCCGAGAGGGGTGTGTACTGCAATGCATGGCTGTGTGTGTGCATGTGTGTGTGGCTGTGTGGGCCCGCAGCATCAAAATTCAGGCCTTCTTCTTCCCCTCCCCCACCTCCAGCTCTTGCTCTGAGACCCCATCTTCTCCGGTGGCAGTTTGACCACCTCAGTCACAAAGAGCCCCAGTGATCCCGTCAAGACATCTGGGAAAGAGGAAAAAAAGCATCTTTTCAAATGTCAAGTGGATAAACAGTCAGGGCGCCAGATGTGCGGCTGGGAACCCTCCCAATGGCTCTCAGGCCAGCAATCTTCCCAGTGGTGCTGCCCAGCAAGAAGCCACCCAGAGATGGGCTGTCACCATGGACGCTGGGTGGCCACTGCACCTCTGAGTCTACATCCCCTGGGAAGCCCTTGGCAGAGAAGCAGGGAGGTGAATGCACTGGTGGTAGTGGTGAACCCTTCCCCATAAGCAGCCATTTGGGGACAGGGATGGGGCTGGGAGCAGGTCCCTGTGGCAAATGAGGTGGCTAAGCAGGCACACACCCTTCCTGGAGGGGGAAACCACAGGGAGGCTCAGGGCCCAGCAGAGCTTGCAGGGCGCACAGGGCCTGGGCCTGGGAAGAGACAACCACCTGGAATGGTCCCTCAGAATGGGAACCCACCCCCAAAGAAAAAAGTAACAGTCGCAGAAGAGGCAGTTTCTGGAGCATGGTTCCGCCCCAAAGCGGCA